ATGCACAGACGTGTCCTGAGAAATACTTTTCTCAAGAGTATGAAAGATGCTAGACATGACACTGCTGCATTCACTACAGCTGATTTCATTTTTGTTCTGACAGACCAAACTACGGTCCAAGAGTACATACTTATTTATCTCATGAGTAATTGAAATCAATTGGAATTGAACATAAAAAAATGCTAGATCTAAAATTCCATACGGAATACTTCCATTTACCTTTCCTGGGAAACAGAATGTTACAGTATGTTTATCAATCATCAGATGGTTACTAATTTTCCTTGGTTACACTCATGCAATCTGATTTTCCTGGATGTGTAGAGAAGTCATCTGCAAAATGCAACTCAGCTGAGTTTTAAGACATCATTTGAACCAAAATGCATTGAGAGCAAATATCATTTCTTCTCAATGCAGGGCAATGAAGGTCAAATGGGAAAATTGGAACTTTTTGTAATACTGTACTTCATTATTGTTACTCGTTTCTCTTTCCTTTGTTATCAGAATTCAAAATGTGACAATTAGCCTGACTTTATTGCCACACAAGCATGAATTAGTCTCTTTAAGAGACTAAAATCTTAATTAAATCTTGTCTGTGGTCCTGTTCAGACCCCTTTTCTCAGCTTTAATAGGAGTACTGAATTGAAGAATAACTGCAAAATATTCTGCTTCTTATGCAAAGAACATTCACTGTAAATCAGGCTATAGTGCAATATGCAGCAGGGTCCCTCCTCTGCTTTAATCTCGATTCCCTTTTCAAGAGGCCATCCTCATCAAGGATCGCCAATCCCACAAGACAATTACATTCACACAGAATTAGCATGAATAAAGCTTCTGTTAGCTTTGATAAAATCAGATATCGAAGGCAGAAATGAACATTAACAGAGAACTCCGCCTGAGGGTTCAAGTTTACCTTTTGTTTTTAGGGACCCCCGGTGTCAGTACATGGCTTTTATTTTTCACAGGCCCCCTGTTTCAGCATGGTAAGTAGCACGTGGGTGGAATACAGTCCCAGTTCGATACACGCAAATACGATCAAATAAACCTGCCGGAACAAAGCTATGTCTGCTTTTCTACCAGATCTCGACTTCATGGAATATACATTAAAAAGAACAGGCTAACAAATTTCTTGAACATTAAAAATTATTTTAGCCAGGAACAGGTTTTAAATCCCACGAAGTTGTCCATCCTATACTGTACTGTAAATCCATCTTGGTCTCTTAAAAATAAGAGCACGTCTTACAGCCCATTACCGTATACAGTAGCGGATGAGAAACTCGGCAACGAGGTAAGAAAACAATATTTAAACTGCATTTACAAATTCGGATTGTTGAAGAAACCTCTGAAGCAGCGCCATGGGAAGAGGGAGACTGGAACTACTGGGATTATTTTTGAAGTGAAAAGCACCAGTCCTCACGAGGAATGGCCTACAGAGCAGAAACTATTTCACTGTGTGCTTTGACTGCGATGACTCACAAGTTCCCCGTGACGTCTGGTACCTCTTGCAGCCTCGTCAGGGAGTGCAACACTAGCATCCCGAGGAGGAAGTCTTAGTTAAACTTTGCTTCAAAGGCACATAATTGTCTGAGGATATGATACATTATGGTGTGGGACTTCCCAAGCTAAACTCGTATTTTCCTCCAAATGCTCAGTGTAAACACATGGCTGGAGACGCAGCGTGCGGTCGAGTGTTTTCAAATTTCTCTCACAGCTGAAGACGCTTGCCGTTTTGTTAATTGTTTTTTTTTTCCCCTTCAGCTCGGTTTGCCATTTTCGAAATATTTTGGAAAGATATCTTTGCGGCAGCGGCTGCTGCTGGCGGACAGGAGGCCGGCCGAGCCAAGCCAGACGTTTCCACTACAAAGTCACCACTGAGCGGATGGCAAGGAGATAGTAAACAACATCCATGGGCGAGCTGGGCAGAACGCGCTGTGGAGGCAAGCTCCTCTGCCCCCTTCCTTCAGCTTCTCCCTTCTCTCTCTGTGTTTATTGTGGGGCGTAAAGGCCTTAGGAATTCGCACGCCCATGAGTGCCACTATCTCTACACTCTCCGCCGTTCAGCTGAAGATTTCACTAGGAGCACATTACTGCTGTGCTTCAGCTGAAACCACAGGACTTCAAAACAATATGCCATTATATTACAAATGCGGGGAAAACATCGGAAAACGTAAATACAGGCTGTAGTGATATTCATAGAGGAAAACGGCAAGTCACAGTTTAGGACACGTGTGGCTCATTGCTTTCATGAATTTTGTCTGTATCTTTCTGTCCTGTATGTGCGTAGATTCGCTGAAATAATGTTTGATATCGTATGTTAACAAGGCCTGTTTGTGTAAAATAATAATACAAATCACTCACTATCTTGAACTGAGAAACCCAAGAGACCGCATTGTATAGGTGCTTAAGTCAGGTCCTTTGTATATATTCCTAAAAGCTAGCTAAAGAGATCTTGACAATGCTGTTTTTTAATAGATCGGTCAATATTATATTACTTAGTCAGTAGTCAATTTCTTATACTCATTGAAGACCTACAGTATCTTTCAATTATCAAGTAACCATCATCAAGTTGTTTGACGTGTATACAAGAGTCTTACAGTATACAAATGTAAAAATGTAGGAACAAGAGAAAGTGGAAAATTTTCATGACATATTCAAAATTATATAACCGGATACCTAAGTCAGAATCTCTGGGCAGTTGTAATATACTTTGAAGTGACTACGATCTCTTTCCTTTTTGTTTGCCTGAGTTCCTCTGAGAACATCAGATGCAGACTATTGCACAATACCAGCAGATTTCAACAGCAGTCTTTCCAAAGCACTTAACTGTTCAATTTGTGCAAATTTTTCAATACTAAAATAAATAATTTAATAAGCAAAAAACAACCGATTCTGAGTCAATAACGATTATGTAAATTTGTTTAAAAAACGCAAAGCTTCTACTTTTAAACTACCACGATCTTCTCTCCAGTATTATGATTTTAAACCAGGTGGAGTGAACAAATCTTGGCACCCAATATCATTATACAGTACGTCACACGCCTCAGAATGTAATCAATCCTTAAGTAAATATTATTTTATACTGAACCCAATCATCAGTTTTAGGAAACAATGCTCTACTCCACACAGTCAATTAAGTTTTTGTAAGTCATAATGAATTAAGTCGCTTTTTTAAGTGCGATTCCAATTTTTCTTTATGTTGACTAATTAGCAATGATGCAGTGACACTTACTGTAGGTCAATGGGTTTCTAACTGTCTGAAACGACCTACAATTCCCACACAGCTTGCACTGCAGTGTCCTGGAGGGACCTGCTCTTTGGATGCTGTGCAGGCCCAGAGCTCCCAGCCCCACATTAGCAATGACTAGGGGCAATGAGCAGGGCCCTGTGTTGTATTTTTGGGAAGGCCTGAGCTCAGAGACAAATGTAATCTCTCCTCAATGTGCCGCACAGCCCGGCTTTTTTAATATGCAAGGATACGGCTCATTGCCCAAGAACTCTTTCAAGTCACATTTATGGTATTAAAGCATAAAGTACTCATTTTGTCACTGCCAGGCTTTGCCATTTGAAAAACAAATTCATTAGCGTACACAATAAAATACAGCTGTGTTCCCCCTTTTGAAACCCGTGCCCAGTCTTAACAATATGTTGCTGGAGTTGAGAAGAAAATTCTGATACGGAAAACGCCCAACATCTTTTTTTTTTCTCTTTTCAGCTGTCCACACACCTCTACCGACCTAATAAAGCAATAAGCAGAAATCTTTAAATGGTTATAGTCAATGCTGATTATACACACGTATACAAAACTGTACAAAGATCTGCCTCTCACGGAATATGGGGACCACAGATTTGTGTGCTCTGAAGCTGCACAACTGTTAATTACGCATAAAGTCCTATTGATTTTTCATTATATTGCAGTCTATTTAATTATATTTCTCATAAATATATAAATATTTATCAATGCACCCTGTTGCACAAACCTACATAATAATGTACTAAAAACTAGCTTGAATTGAGTTTTTTTTTTTTGGGCACATGGCTAAACTGGGTTGAAAAGAGCTTTGAGGTCACCATCACGGCCACTAGAGGGCCCTGAACGCTCAAGTAATTCAAAGCAGAACTATCCTCGAGATGCATCAATCTTAGATGCCCTGCGCTGTACCGTGTGATGATCCCAGCCCTACCAAAGAGCCGCTAAACATCATGTACTGAACCTAGGTGAACTTAGAACAGCACCCTCTGATATTGAACCTGATAATAAACGCAAACAATGAATCACTACAAGAAAGGGTGAGGGGTAGGAGATTTTCTCAAATAATAAGCAGATGCTGGATACCTGCTGAAAGCACTACTTTTTAGTCACGCTGTAAAAATGCATTTGTTTTTAAAGTAAATAAAATCAAACATATTACTGCCTTTCTTAAAATCAATATGAACACGCATGGGTGTGGGCTGCCAGATGTTCTCTCTTTCCTTATTTCACTTCATGGTACACGGCATGCTCTGAAGATGTGTTGTGAACCGCACTGTGCACTAACAAAGATGAGCTTTTAAAGTGCTTTAGGTTTTTTCCTGCTCTACAGGGTCCTCCCTTGTGAAGGACAACAGAGGGCTCTTGAGGATCTGGTTCGGACACTAATGTTTTCACATAGGGAACAGCTGGTAAATATTTTTAGATTCTGTTTCATTAAAAAGCTTTACGGACTAGACAGACAAAGCAAACGTCTCTGAACTTCTCCCCCCCTTTCATAAACACACTGAAAAGAGCGACAGCTGAAAATTGTAAACGCATACTGGATTAAGAGACCTACACAACTTTCAATCGGTAAATATTTAACTCCCAATAAAAACGAACAGAAAAGGGAAGACAACAAGAGGGGGGAGGAAAAAAAAAAGCAAGGAGCATGGCGGTCCGTGGCCAAGGACAAGCAGCGGATTCCCCTGGTGGCCTGTTATTGGTCATACGGTGGTGGGAGACTCCAGTTAACGACTCCCCTGGCCGTTACCTCCGTGGTGTTTTCAGAAGCTTCCAGTCCCCACACGTTGGCCCTGAGGAGCTGCTGCAGGAGCTGTACTTGAGCCGCGCTGAGGAAGAAGTCCAGGCTTGTGGTCACGTTCACTTCCAGGGAATGGCCACACACGACAATCTCCTGCAGGGAGAGGAGCGGCCATGAGCTTCACCCGCACCCCCCCTGCCCCCGCTGGGGATGGCAAACCCCGTGCTCGGAGGTGAAGGGGAAACTGCTCCCAGCTCGTGATGAATGAGGTTAGACTCTGCAGGCTGAAGGCCCTGCTAAAGGAACACGACTCAAGAAACAACAACGGTCTAAGACTTAAAGAAAAAAAAAAGATTTTAGAGAACACGTTTCTTCATCGGTGTTCTCCCAGCTTCTTTGGATTTCCCCCTGGAACCACTCCATCTTCGAAAGTCACAAATCACATTTTCTTGTCTGCATGTGGAGAACAAATGAGCTGTTGCACACTGTCACCAGTGACGTTCAGATACAAGCAGCAAAAAATCCAAATGACAATTTGAGACTGCGCACAAATGCAAATGTACATTCAATGTCTTAAATCTTAGTTGTGTTTTGCATATATATAGTATTTCTAAATTGTATGCATTTTTCATCATATTTTATTAGTCCTCAACACATCACGGGGGAAGAGAAGACTTCTGATACACATGACGACACAAACTGGGCTGGTTATGTACCTTTAGCACAATGGTAACCTATTTTTTTGTGTCCCAGTATCCTGGACCCCTTGGCAGACAAGTACATTATTGGTGAAAATTAATGAAATGAGGATAACATTGTACACAGCATACAGTTACAAAACAATATCCCCATTGCTCTGTTTCATATTTGATAACTTTAAGATGCAGTGAAACTGAATCAGCTGGCACTGAGATTTAAATGTTACTTTCAGCCTCTATATACTGAGTAATAATGAGTCAAACACTAATTTATCAGCATTCACCATATTATTCCTACACCACACCCTGAAAATGAAAAATGTGTATTGGCCTCTAAAGGTGTCACTTTAATTTTGGTCTAATATGATCACGGTCCTGCAAAACAAGTAAAGTACAATGTTTAGTTTCCACTTCTCATTCATAAACAAAAGGTGAAATTACACCAATTTGTATGGAAAAAAACAAACTGACCTTGTGAGCAATCACTGAATTTTAGGATGAAGTCACAACACAATCAGTGGTGTTTGCCTAAATGTAGTTAGCTCATGGGATGATAAAAATTGAAGTGGGTGGGAAAAGCCTGTATTTTACAAATGTGTTGTATTGCATCAGGCAGCTCAGTTTGCTGTATTATATGCTGTAACTTGTGTTTACAAGTACAGTTTTAAATTCAGCTTGTTTGCCATGCTGAAATGCCTGCAACTGTTAAAAAATAAAATCTGGGGCATTTCCCATCAGTTTACTGGTTAATAAGAACAAAAATCTGATGTTCTGGTCCGTGACACATTAGAAACATAACTCCAGTACAAACCTATATAATTATGTGGCTTCCAAACTGCAAAACTGAAATGTGAACTGCAAAATTAATGGCTATTTTGAATGACACAAAATGGTAAATATTTTATAATAACGCTATGAAAGATTTTTTAAAATATATTGGTTAATATTTTCCAATGTAACAAAACTTAAAACTAAATTAAAGACAGATTTTTTTAAAGCATATACTGTTTAAACTGCTTTAACCCCTACAGTGCGCAATGTGCCACTCACCTTGACCTGTGACCTCTGCAGAGCGCACCGTGTCATTTGCCGCGAGCTGTAACCTCTGTGGCGCTCACTGCTCCCCTCACCTTGAACTCTGACCTCTGCGGTGTCTACTGCTGCTATTTACTTTAACCTGTGACCTCTGTAGTACTCACTGCGCCACTCACCTCGACCTGCGGGCTGTCAGGTGACACCTGCTTGGTAAATATGATAGCTGGGGCAGCAGTCAGGCGAACCGAGAAATCTGTCAGGATTGGAGTCAGGATCGCCCTTCTCTCCTGGTGCCGTCGAATGCTGGATGGGATTTATAGATCACAGTTATAAAACTCTCTATCTTCCCTTCACAAAATGCTGTATACATCTAGGTGTGCAATATTTTGAAAAAGAACAGCATTGAACTGGTAAAACTTTGTGATCATGTGGCCTGACGTACAGGCCGATCTGACTGGTTCTGGAAACCAGTCCAAATCATTTTTTCCCCAGTATATCTTCATTTTTCCTCAATCGCTGCATCCCTGTTTTATGGGAAATTATACACAAGATTTATTCTTCAAAGTAACAATGTCTACAACAAGGACTGGTTGAGTGATATTAGTAAAAACAGATATTTTATTCGTTTCAACAAAGATGCGTAAAAACACTAACTCTCAGAATGAGTAAAACTAAAGCAAGCAAGACAGATGTATTACTACTAATTTCTACTTCAATCTACCTCATCTTTCTCTGTTAACTGATCTGTATCAAGAATTAACATTTCATTTCAGTGAGTGATAACCTTCAGCCTGTTTTGGTAGAGAGTCACGATCACATTTAATCAGGTGGTTTTTACGGTTCATCGGCTCATCATTATAAAAGATAAAATGAAATATGTATTTGGGAAATGTCATTTTTTTGCTAAATTCTGTGTTATCATTCTTGAACTCTTAGGTTATGATTGTATATTCTGGGGAAAAAAACAACGACTATAGCTCATCTTTATTCATCAATGGTTCATCACTGGTTATTCTTGGTACACTGTATGACATGTCCCCTGTATAAACAGGGGTAGTGACATTGCAAATTGTGAGTGGCACACTATCATGTCTTTATTCTGATAGCTCTGCTACAACATTTACACACAGCTTCTGACTCGCACTGCTCAAGCTCAAGGTCTGCTAAATCCTAATCATTAGTGACAACTGACTTCACATTTTCAACATCACTCGGTTGTTAAAAATTTAAACCAGAAAAAAAAAAACTCAATTTCAAATGCAGCCTTCAAAACCCATTTACACTTGCAAGCCAACCTGTGAAATATTTCCATAACCGAGCCTTTCAAATTTCTCAGAAGGACATTTCAGCTCCAAGCTACAATAATTCAGAGAACGATGTGAGCCATTATTTGACAATTCTCTATTGGGAACACACCCTAATTGTATACACAAGACCAAACTAAAACCTTAAAATATAAACTTTCCCCATTTTGCTAATGTTCATTCCCACAATCAAGTTATATTTGCGGGAACATTTGTTAGCAGTAAAACAAATATACAACTCGGCTTTATAAGGTGGTGTTAATTGCCACATCTGCTGCTATTAAAACAATCAAACAGCATAGCTTCCAATATTTATAGTCGGCACAGGATTAAAACAAGCTGGAGTTCTAGGTGGCCTGGTGAAATTCTGTATAACCTATGCCAATATCATATCATATTCTGCCGTAGAAATGTACATTACCAGTGCCCTCAAGGGATGCATGCCAATATTTTTTTTTTGGAGCATAATCTAATTCATACAGCATGGTTGTTATGATGGAAAGCTATTTATAAGGTGCTTTCAGGGCAAAACCTGTGGGCTGTTTTCAGCAGGCAACTGTAATTCCTTTTCAATACAATGCAAAACAATTAGCACCCTATTGTGACATACAGGTGCTTTCAATCATTCTACTGGATGTTGTAATGCTTCTCCGTCCCAATTCTTGTGGGCTTTTCTAGTGAAGGAAGAGCCCTGCTATGAGAGCTACTCAAGAAGTTATGAATCATGCCGAGCAAACCAGTGTGAACACAAGCAAGGAATTATGTGACACCAAAGGACCCAGCGTGGGAAGGTAGAAAGTTCACAGCTAAAAAACCAACATCTTTTGTGGAATTCTATACTATCATGCAGACAGAATCTGTCAGCAGATTGTTGTATATGGAATTTCCTACAAAACCTCAGGAAGCAAGCAGAGTTCAATGGAGATCAGCAACTACTGGAATTAAAAAAAAGCCTGGCAAGATGCAATGTTTTAGCACAGAGCTAAGTGCGGGGAAAAAAAGGTGTGAACCTTGCAGTCATCTTGACTCCTTGCATAATGTAAAACACTCAAAAACAGATCAGGAGGACAAATCAGGAAGTTTAATTACAAAAGTACATTCCAAGCTTATACACTTTTTGTATCAGATTCCTCCAACCTATGTTTGTCAAACTGACCATTTGAAATAAACCAGCTGAAGTTAAGGGAAAAAATGTAAGACTGTCTGTCAGTCCTGTCTGAGATCTCATGATACTAGCATTGGATATCTGAATGTGGCCCTGTCCACCAACAACAAGGGAAAGGCAGCATCTTCTTGTAACACAATGAACCTTATAAGACCCTCATTCAAAACAAAACACAAACAATCGTAATAAAAATAAGCATTGTGGGAAGATTTTTTTTTTAATGTGGCCACCAACAGTCTTGAGCTTTAAACAAAAGGCAGGATTACGTGATTAAGGCAACTTGCATAAAAGTTAAACAATGCCATTCATATGAAAATCCTATCAGAAAAGAAAATAATTCTTCAGGATCGCAATCCTACACATCTTAGCTTTTATTCATCACACACTGTATATGGGTTTGAGGCAATGACAAATTCAAATACTGTAAACGTGAATGGCAAACATGGAAAGCAGTATTAAAATCCATTCAAGGAAAAGTAAATCAGGCTGTTTTAACAAATAAGGTAAATAGATATTTCCTCTGTGTTTATAAAACCATATAAAATAGCAGAGGTGGGAATGTACAACCTATAGTTCAGTATGAAGTAATACTTGAAACTCAAAAGAACATACTGTACTTCAGGTTATATTGCATGATATGCAGTATCATGGCTTTTTAAATAATTGGGAACCTGTGTTTCCAGGCAAAATAAAGCTCGTGCCGATATAAACAGGTGATATCAGATCTGCAATAGACAAAGACTCTCATTTCAGACTGGTGACGATGGAACCAAATCACAGCACCTTTAACGCAATGTTCTCCCAGAGCCAGGTACAAACAAGGCAGTGCAGTATAAAATATAGCAGGTTAATTAATGATAATCTCACAACGTACTACCTACTATGAACATTTTCTGAAAATATAAAAGGATATCATGTCTTGTCTGGGATAATTCCTTAAAAGTGATTTCGGAGGACAGATGAGCACCCCAGCACCTTTGATACAGAAATGTGGTTCTTGATCTCCCTCGCTATGGAGGTCATAACTAGTTAAATAACAAGTCTTTGCTGTACAGTCAGAGCTACTGAAAAGGGAACAAAATGACAGAATGTGGCTGAATTCCTAAAAATGATACAAAGCTCAAATCCTGAAAGAGTTCAAACAGAAGACCCAGTGTCTCTTGGCTGACGTCCACAGTAAACTGCACAGTGTATGTGATTGCAGTGTGACAGTCGTACCAGTACTCCTCAACACTAAAAGCAGGTAGGAGAAGCCTCTTGCTTTCCATCTGCCTGATTCATGATGGTAAGTGTTCCCGCAACTAAAAAATGATGTGACCTAAAAAGCACTTTGTCAAAATCAAGCTCATGTTGCTTTTACAGAGCGCTACATTCTTTAGAGGCTACTTTCAGTCAACAGAGAACAAATTTGAAATTCTTTTCTTTGTGATTTTTGGGCCTGTTCCTTTTCAAAACAAGAGCTAAAATCGCATAAGCCAAACAGGCCATTAAACTTGCTTGTTTTAGCTCCCTGTTCCAAATTTTCAGAAGCAAAGATTGAAAAAATGCTTCTTGAAAATGATATATTATGGTGAATAAACTTGATTTGTGTTTAAAGTTGACCTGCAAAATGACTTTAGAAAAAATGGATTGTTGAATATACAGTACGAGTGCTGAATCAGATTTTTTTTTTAAAAAGATGAGCTTGACTTTGTTTGACAAGCCTGAGAACCATCAGAGGCAGCTGAGACATCTTAGCTGTAGGAAAGGAGGTGGAATTCTGGTGCTGGAGGGCTTTCATTCCATCTCTTCTCTTAATGACCTAAATTATTGGCTCAATTGGACCAATTTATCCACTTGAGGTGCCGAAACCTACAAAACCTGCAGGCACACCATCCCTCCAGGACCAGGACTGGACACCTTTGCTGCAGGGTAATACACTGGCTTAGGCAAAATTAAACATGATGGATTTCTGTATGTATGCAGCATTATTCAGATTTATACACAACTTAAATAAATTCTTAACAAGCAATAATATCTGGAAGAATGGTAAAAAACCCTCAGAGCTGCCAGGCCCTCACAGCCCAATACAGGAAGTGCCCAGTCAGTGTAATCCCTGCCAGAGGAGGATTTACAAAATACTCTTTTCAGGAGTGTGAATAAATGTGATTCTTGTGTTTTCTGGAATTCCTGTGACAAGTGACATTTGTGACAAGTATGCCTTTGAACTGTGCAAAACTACCGTGCTTACAACACAACTTTTTTAGTTTAGAACTCTTTTAAAAACAATACACTGAATATACAGGCACTGAAAGGTTAACCATATGTTGAGCATTTAACCCCATGAAAATATCTCGCATGAAATTTAAAATGAAGAAGGCTACTTCTATTGACATTTCGCAGCCCAACTTCATTTTGATACTGCTGACAATAGAAAAGGTCAAGTGGCAAACAACCCTGCTAGAAAAGGAGAGTACCATGCACTGCTTATATGAATAAATCTGAACTGTATTAATTAAATAATGTTTGCCCCATGCTGTTGTCATGCTAGAAGAATTGTGGATTAGAATGTAAGGATGGTTACAAACAACAGGAGGCCACTCAGCCCAGCTAACCCAATGCTCCCTGTAGTTAAACGATGCTAGGATGTCATCCAGCTGTTTCTGGTAAAAACAAAACACAGAGCATTGGCAGAGTAGTGTCTGGGTGGCCGGATCCAGACCTTCATCCACTTAGCATGAGCATTACCATCATGAGCCTGCACAAGGGGACCGAGCCGGCCGGCTCTCTCTTTCTCCCTCGCTCCCCCGGATTGGGCCCTGCGCGTTTGAAAAGCGGACGGACGCGGGCCTGACGCGAGGCCTGGGACCCCTCCCCGGCAGAAAAACGCCAGACCGGCGTTACCTGCTGGCCATGTTCCACTCCAGCGCCGGGTTCTGTGAGCTCCGCTCGCTCTCCGCGGGAGCGCCCCCCTTCGCCCCCTCCTTCTCGGGCTTCAGGTGCTCCCACCGGGCCGTGCCGATATTGATGGACTGCAGATCGACCTGGTACTGCCGGTCTTCCACCTCCGACCCCGGGTCCCGCAAGATCCCCAGATTCGAAGCCCTCCTACAAACAGGAAACACACGGAGAAATTGTTCTTTCATTGGCACGGGGGATGGCTTTTCTTCAGCTCAGCGATTCTTAGTTTAAAACCCGGCCTTGTATTTTTTTTTAATTGGAAGGACATCAGATTGGAAATATGGAAATAATTGGAAATGCTTTACTCGAATGATTTTATTATTTTAATGAAAACAACGTTTGCTTTGACAAATGAATTTATTGTCCCTTCTACTGTATCTTCTTGTACTTTCTCAAGATAGCCCTATCTAGCATTACCGGTGATCAGATCTCGCAGCTGCCACTTCTGCTGTGTGTGATCGATGTTACATACTGTACATCCCCAGCGCGTTTAGTTTCTCTCTATTAGGCTAGGAAATTCTCAAGCAGCTGCCATTTGATGATGTCCCAATCACTAGATCTGCTGTCGATAGGAAAACCACAGTGACATAGAATGACTTACAACTTACAATGAAATCTCACTTAAAACTAGTTGTTGCACACTTGAAGCGCCCAGATTTTATGATAACTGGTTACAGTATCTGTTATGAGACATTCAAAAGTAGCACATTCAAAAGCAATGTGTCACAATTAACACTAATTTGAGATGAGGCACTCACTTCTGAAGTTTGCTAGCACAAAAACAGCAGGAGCAGACTTGCTTCTACTTATAAACTTTTTACTTAATTTGTTGTTTTTTAAAAATTTTTTACAGGGAACCCCACATCCTTTATGAAACCAACTAGAACTGACAATTTTATTCAATTTCATCCTGAAGCATATTAACAGCGCACGTACTGTACTTCGTTACAGATACTATAAAGAGATGTTCTGGCAAAAAGAATTGGCAAGTTCTGTTAGCTGTATGTTTTTTATTCACTTTCAGTCAAGCAGGTTTATTACCAAATTAAAATTCTGGAAAAACAATATGTTGATAAATAACATGACCCTGGCAAAGCAGGAAGAAAATAAATAAAATGACCTTCAGGTAAAACAGTTTGCCTCTTAAAAGCTCTGATTTATGCCAAGTTATAATTAGTGGTAAATACTCCAGTTGACTTAGCTGGATTGTGCAGTAGTTTTAAGCCTTCTTGAAGGACTGAAATGAGAACAGTTTGTTTACAAATTTGAAATCCATGAAATCCTGTAATACGTCAGAAAATGCCTCTCAGTGCTAAGTGATCTGCTCTTAAAATTCCTCCCTAAGAGATTAAACACACTCAATGATGTCATTTATTTTGCTTTGGAAGACAAGATGCTGTTGAACACATGAACTAAATTTACATCTGCAGATGACATCAGGGCTTACAGTTATGATATGTTTATTTGTCCTGGTGAATTCAAATACATTTTTATACTGTAAACAGAGGCTCAAAATGGCAACAGATGTTAGGACAGCACGAGTAGTTCTTTTTGTTTGAGCAATTATCAGTGGTCATTTTTCGTATATTGTTTCTTCATTCAGTAACACACAGCAAGCGTTTAACCCACAGAAATGTTACAAAAAACACAAACACAGCCGACACTAAAAGTCTGAGATGCACTCGATTTTCAAACAAACTTTTACTGGAGCGGTCTGAGCGCAGTACCTTGCTCGTGGTTTCAACAGCTGTGTCTCAACTGGGATTTGAACCCACGACCTTCCAGTTCAGAGTCCAGAACCCTAACCACTCCTCCACATTGCGGGATTTTAGCTGAAAAGACCTAGGGGTGCTCTGATCCCTTTAATGTTTCACATTCCACTTTAGACAATAAGAAAAGGTACAAATGAGAGCAGGCTATTCTGTACATCAAGCATTGGCTTTGAAAAAAAAACAACAATGATAATAACAAGCAGTATATTAAACATGCACATGATGACTAAAGCAAATAACGTAGTGTTCCAATATGCCAATCTGGCTTGTTCCTGAGCCAAACCTTTTTCTTTTAATTGGAGAAGAGACCACAAAAACATTACATTTATGACAAAATTCTGCTATTTATAAAACTAGATCAAAAGCAAGTCAAGAAGAAAGCTTTGTTTCTTAGCAATGTAGTCATTTTATTAAGCATTTCTTTGCAAAATCTAAAACCGTTAACTCCTAAAAGCCACAGAAATGCCTTTTTTGGGTCCAAGGTTTTAGTTTAAAAATTGCTAAATAGTGTGTTCCCATGCCAAAGTCTTAAAAGTGTTACTTTATTTGACTAGCATTTCATGCACAAACAGTAATTTATTTAATCATAGGAAGGTGTCACACTCTCATGAGATAAAAGCTGTCCAATGTGTGATGGGAAAGGAGAGCTCTGTTTTCTTTGGTTTCCATACTGAAGGCACAGGGTAAAATCTCAGCTACTGCAGGATCCCAGCAGCAGCTCTGATGAGCAACCAGGTACAGTAAGTCTACACGATCTCCAGACACCAAGGACACTTCTCCACTCCTTGTGGATTTGGAGCAACATTTCGTAGCTAGTAGATGCACCAGTAGGAAATTCCTCAACAAATCACAAAATCTCAATCAGAAAACAAAACCGAGATGAAAACAAAACTTGGTATTGTATATTTTCCCTAATATATACAGAAATGCAAATTCAGACCTCCTGCATACTATTGTTGAAAGAGATGACAGAGGAGAAAACACATTGTTTGCCCAGAAACTGAAATGCTCGCAGGACTAAATAAACAAACTAAACAATATGTCATAAAATATCTCAATAAATTAGTAGGCGGGCAATTTCCAAGTCGCAATTCTGTAGGAGGATAAAGGAAAAGCCACAGTAGTTAGTGAATAAAAGCAAGTTCCTAATTTACCACAGGAGGTTGCATAATGAGAAGGAAACAAAACAGCTCTTTTTCAGATGACAAAGTTCTGGGCAAGCCTTTGTACAGATGCCAGCGTTGGTGCTTTAGTAACACCTGCGCTGGCAAAAAAAAACACTTTATCTTGCATTGTGCTGACTGATGACAGCACTCTAGGCAGATGCACAAACTTAACTTGGTAAACCAACGGAATCGGACGTCATCTGCTATATTTGAGGTGATCTGCTGTATATGTTAAAGCAATGGGTAGCATCTGGATTGCTGGTGGCACAAAGGCAGAATGGAGCAGAGACCTTGAGCACCCAGCTCTGACACTGTGAAAGGCACTCTTTACTCAGGAGTGGATGTACAGTATTCTCACTGGGCGGCCCAGACTAAATTCTGTGCATTAGGTCTTTTCATCTGTCAGTCCACAACTCAGAGGAGGTCGCAGAAGGAACTGCACTTCAGCCCTTTTCATTCTACCTGTTAACAACTCACACTCAGCATGCCTGATAAACTGTGGCAATCAATACTACCGACAGCCCTGTAAAGTACTTCTGAAGAGATAAGTTTTGACTTCTCTCTGCTGTGATCCAACTGTGAACCAGCTGCTATTTCAGAGTGGGGCCTCCTGTTTTTTTTTCTTGCTGCATTTTCTGAGGCAGAAAAGGTTAAATGTGGTTCAAGGTAATAAAATAAACCATTCTGAGATGTGCACCAAAGATCTCAAAGTCCAGGGCAGGCTTATCTCAGTGCTGTTGGCTATTGAGTGTGTGCTAAGAACTGCAGTTTTCAGTCAGCAAGAGGCCCTGAAAGCAGAACCTGGTAGTGCCCTGATAATACTGGGGCTGAATATTTATTTTTTTCATCATGTGGAGTCTGATTTCTTTACCAAACCTTAAAACTTTTTTTGCATGTTCCAAATATTCTAAAAAAATTCAAGGCACAATGTGCATTTGTGAGTGTTTAGCGTTTTTTTACACATTTTGCACACGATGTACATGTCTTTCTGAACTGTATTGGTTTTACATAAAAGCTGAACACTTTATGAAAAGTGTTCATGCTGTTGTGTACACAGTAACTGTTTACAATGTCCAGAAAAACAAGGATTTAGAGTCTTTGAAATTACATTGCACTTACTGTATTTAACTTTACACATTTCTTTTCATTCTATTTTTATTGTTGATTTTTCTTGAAAGATTCAGATTTACATTAAGAAATAACCATGCCGTGTGAAAATCAGCCACTATGCTGTTCTTTGAAAACAAGATGTTTCAAGCGCAGTCATTCATGGGACTTGTCTGCTGTTTCATTTGCATGCAAGCCTCATAAACTACATCTCCTCCTGCAGGCCTAGAACAAGCCTTTCATCTCCCTTCCATCTTACTGAGAACATAAGGGTTGGATCACGCTCTCACGGATTTATTAAAGGGAGGGAATTCATAAAAATATAATTCATGAATGTTGCAATTACTCAGTAAGTTTAAAACCCAAACTGATGGTGGTCCATTCTAAACTGCCTAAGTACTGTGACTTTGAGTAGCAACATTACTGAGATTTATTGGTTCAGTCAACTCCAATTACTCCTAATTTGCATCTAAAAGCATTGCAATTAGGTCTCTGAATTGGAACACCAAGTAGTCATTTAAACCCAACAGGAAAATAACATTATCAGAATTTAACGAGTCGATGAGATTTGTTTTTCAAAAAAAAATAATTAGGGTCATGTTCGCAAGGTTTTGCTCCACTCTACTATATAAGAAGTGGGGTTTTTTATCTCCTGAAAAAAGAATGGCCATCAAAGAAACAAAACAGAGGTCTGAAATGAGAACAGCATATTCATTCAGCATATCTCGCATGAGGGTTTTACGCCAGTATTAGATCAAAAGCATCAGCAAAATCTAATCCATGAAACAAACTGATGTGGACATTAAAAGAACAAAAACGGTTTTGTTCATTATATATTTAATATATTTTTAATGTGCAGATTGCCAGATGTCAAGACACCTTCCTCCTTAAACAGCATTTCAGAAATAGCATTTCTAAAGAAGCAGCTAAATACCTTATGGAACGGGAACCAATACCCTCCTGAAGCATCACAGCAAGGTTTTTCACTAAACCCAACGACATCACCATCATCCAGTGCTACACCCCCAACAAACAGAAAGACACCATCCTCTTAACAGGTAATGTCATTGCCAACTCTGGACAGGACAACAGTGGCCATGAA